GAAATGTCTCTTTCCATTTTAAGATAGTTGGACATAGACTTTGATTTTTAAACAGTTGGACATCAGTTGGAAAATATAGGTAGTCCCATCCCTAGACTAATAGATGACCTTGAGTAAAATAGGAGTCACTTCTTTCTGGTCTCACTTTTCGGCCAGCAACCAGAAAATGGGCAGAGTGACAGCAGCAGTCCAAGTCTAGAGTCAACACAAATGGGAATGGGACACCCTGGGGTTAGACAAGGCAAAACTTGAATAGCAACATGATTGACAAGAATGTCTGAAATCAAATTTCCTTTGGTTGAATCTAAACTGGGATACTATTGGAATTATTCTTTCTAGCCTTTGACACATAGTCTCATTGACTGGGAGAGCTTAGACAACGTGATCTCTTGAAATGATGTTATAAGCAACCACAATATGCTTTTAAAGTCAAAGGGGCATTGCACTAACCGCTCAAGAGAGCTGCTCTTGTTTTTAAGTTGTTTGAAGTTCTTAGAAAGCTTTTCTCCATGATGAGGGCCAATAAGATGGCCCAGCAGCTGACAATCTGACTCCAACACCCAGATCATGTGGTAGGAGAAAAGAACTGTCTCCTGAAAGCTACACTGTGACCTCCATACATGTCCTGTGGCACCTCAGCAACAACTCTTACACACACGCACACACACACACACACACACGCACACACACACACACATATATACGCATATAGTATTAATATTTTTTTCTTCATAATGAAACCTCCATTCTCTAGTGCTCCACGTTAGGAAAACTTCATCTTTGAAAAGTAAAATTTCTTTAAGTATTCAAAGTTCTATTTTTTTTAAGATATTGAAGGGTAAATGTAGCTCCTTTTTAGCCTTTGCTGGAATTGGCTCCATCTGGCCCAGATGCTAAGGCTACTGCATCCTGCCCTGGAATCCTGCCTAGGACAGAGAAAATACCAATCTGAGTGTTGTGACTTACATGTTGAGTTTATGGAGTGCATTTTATTCCCATGAATGTTCATCTAATTTCAGGGCATGTAGTGTCCTTGGACCTCAGTGAAAAAAGGACAAAAGAAGCCCCCAAACATTGTGAGAATCCAAAGAATAAAAGCCAGTGCCTCTGCCCCCTTTCAAATTCCTCGCTGAGAAATGGACACTCCCATTTGAGAAATCAGGCCAGCATCAATTTTCACTCTGCTTCTGGAAACTTGCTCCTAAAGCATGTCACTGTATGGTTGCCAGAAACCAAAAAGGCCAAGCACAAACCCCTTTCAACGTAGACAGTAAAGAATATATAGTACTTAAAAGAGGACATTATCCATGGCTTCTCAGAGAAATTGGGCTCCTTGGCTCTGCAGTAAACAGGGAGCTGAAATTCAGGCAAGTTCTCTGAGGTCACTCATTAACTAGGTCACACTCATGGTACAAAACAACGTTCCTTTAGAACCCAGCACATCAGTGTAGTTTAACACTGTGCTTCATAATATATTGTTGTAACTGTTTGTCAGTTATTGATCAATTATAAGCGTTTTGTAAAACAAATTTCTCCCTTCTACAGCTATGGAAACCAGGATCTATAATATCCTATGTGGATCAGAAAACCGAAACTTGAGGGAAGATATCATTTGTCCAGCTTCTCACCATTTAAGAAATGGTAGAGCTGGACAAACAGAAGTCTGCCAGGCTGACGAATTCAAAACCAGGAACTCAAGTTGACTACCTTGTCCAGCAAGCATCCCTGGTGTTCTTTCATTTGTCTTCACTTTAAATATCAGAGAAGTTAAGTGGAATCCCTATGATATGAACTAGGTTCACAAGCGACAAAACAATCACTTGGTGCTGTGTTGTGCCGGACTTGTTATTTTTCATTATTGCTAGGACGACACTCAGCAGGGCCCCTTCATTAACTGAAAAAATGTTCTCTGTTGCTTCAGGGATGAGGCAGATGGAAAAGCATAAGAACAAGTTCTAGAAAAGGCTCCTCTGTTCTCCCATTTACAGGGTGAAGCAGTCATTCCAGCCTCCTAAGTGGCACTTTTCCTTAGGTAGCAGCAAAGTGTTTAGAAGGGATGGAAGTGGTTTCAGAGTTGCCTTCAACAACTCTTTGTCACTGTTTCCATAACACAGTAAATTGGGACTTTGAGCATACCTAATATTGGTCTGATTTTAGTTTTTCATGTAGGAAACTGTCAGTTTGCCTGGATTGATCCTAATTAGCTGTGAGAAATAACTAATAGTGAGTGAGACATTTAGTTTTTTACTACTTTGTTTTTCCAAAAGCAAATTCAAATAGTAAAAGCTATCTCCCAGCTGGGTGTTAAACTGAAATACTGTGGCTTTGCTCCTTCTGCAGTTCGTTTTTCGTAGAGAACCCTAAGTGACTTGTTTCATGTTTCAAACGCATAGTTTTCATTTCTTTTGTAATAACATTAAAACTTCTTTGTGGACCAGCCATCCTATATGATCTGCTGCTGTATATATCTATAATCAGACCACATTTTCTTTCTATATTATGAATAGTGATGATGATGATGATGATGATGATGATGATGACAATGAAGATAATAATGTTTTGAGACAGGTCTTAGGGAACCCAGGCTGATCTTGAATTTTTTATGTAGCTGATAACTTTGAACTTCTGATCTCCCTGCTTCTACTGCCCGAGAACAGAGGTTACTAGTAGACATCGCTACTCCTGATGCTGTGTACATGTTCAGTGCTGGGGCTCAAACTCAGGGGCATGCATGTCATAGCCAAGCCTTTGATGACTGTATGCCTAATTTTTAATTCACACTTTCAATATTTAAAATAATCTTGTTTATGGTGTCATTTGCTTCTTATATGCCAGAAGGAAAACTCTGGGAAGTAGGAAAGTCTCTCACACCATTGAATTAGAACTCAGAATATTGTAGAATTCAAGAGTAGCCACTGAATGAATGGTTGAGTGAATGAATGAATGAGTGAATTCTTAATCCTTTGCCTAGAGTTAAATATAAGTCTCATAATCAATGCATACGATGGCAATTTAGTATTGAATGGTCTAGATCTAAATCAATACAAGATATTAGAAAATAAAGTAAGAACTATTAATTTCAATTAGTCTTTGTTTTGTCTGCCAAGAACAAGAATCTAAGGGAAGTGGGAACATAAGCCTTCAGGGACAACCAGGACCTGCTTTGTGGAGGATATACTTCAGAGCATGTCATTTGTCTCTGGGTTGAAGCTTTCCTTTCATGAGTTTTGGGCTTCCTGCATACCCAAGCAGGACCCTATAAGTGTTTACCAATATTTTCCAGGTCACCATCAGAACATTTCCAAGTTTGTTTTACACTCATGTCCTTGTCTTGAAGCATGTAAAAAAATAAGTTTCTTAGCATTTCTCTGTGCAGCATCCTTAATTCCAAAAGAAGGGCTTCATCCTCGGCTCTGCATCCATAGCAATAAACCAGGTTTGCCCTGAGTCCTTGGGTTTCTAAAGTCTCCATTTGTCCCAGTTGTCCTTTTATTGAGTTCACAGACTACACATGGAAAACAGCTATTACCAGACAGAGATGTTTAAAAATGAAAACCAAGCTAATACATGGACTCCGACAACTGGAATAAGGAATATAATATTTATAAAACCAAGTAGGAGGTTGCAATCATTGCTCTAAAAGAAAGCATTAAATATTAATTCAGAGCAAACCTATCTGTGCTCTGGCAAGCCTCACTTTCATTAAAGTAGCATTGTGTGTTTCCCCGGAATTAAATCCCAAATAGGTAAATAGCTGATGAGAAGTGAGCGCTCCGCTGGCTGCAGGAGAGCTACCTGCAGTCTGATTTAGAGTTGCCCTTACCATTAAAACCTTCCAGACCTTCACTTTGAACTAATTAATTGTGATTCTTCTGGTTCCTCTCTAGCTTTTTGCCCTTGAGTATTACCAGAAATGTTTAATTCACATGCTCATGTTCATCTTCATTTGATTAATCCAAATGGCGCTACGTTATTTGATTAATTCACACGCTGCAGAATATTAAATCTTAGGAAACACTGGGTGCCAGTTATAAGTTGGACTTACAGTTCTTTCCACAGCTTTCTCGTTGAAAACCTTTATGTCCTCATTTTTCCCGTTTTGTGCCTATTTCCCTCCACTTTGCATTGACATTTTTAGTGTTACTTTGCTATTCTCATTGGTTCCCTATGCAGAATGCATTCAAAAGAAAAAGGGGTCCTTACCATGCTACTTCTGCATTTTTAGTGGGGCGAGGTAACTAGTTGTTATCTGGCCAATGTAAAACATCCCTCCTAAGACCTAATAAATTTATTATCTCTTAGTCCAATTGATTTTCAAATGATTTCAAATAAAAACACCCAGTTGTCCTTGTATTGACACTCTATACAGTACCCAGACAGTCTCGATTGGATTCCTATTAAATGAAAGGGACAAGCAATGACCAAGAATCTAAAAAGTGAACCTAAGATGTTGGCGAGGTGAGCGCTGCTGAGCGCTGCTCAGCTAGGTAAATGGGTATTTAGCCTCTGACCAGTGACGACAGACCTGCTTTAGTTCTGTGAGACCAAAAGCAAGCTGCTATGATTAAATGAAAAAGAAAAAGAAAACTGTTCAGACTCTTCTGGGCATGTCCTGGGAATTAAGGCATATGGCAGGGATAAGGAAAAAAAGATTTTCCTTATGCTAATGACCCTCGATGTCTGAAATAAATTAGATCCATTAGAGTTTATGCTCAATAAAAGAAAGACTTTAAGCACTCCAAACTTAGTGAGTCAAGACCAGTTTTTACTCTGAAATTCAATCTGCCTACTTATTGATTCTTAGTGAGGCTCCAGAGCAAACAGGGGGCACAAAATCATAATTCCATACTCTGACAGAATTTTAAAGGACCACAGGTTTCTTTTCCTTTTTTCTTTAATTAAACTATTTTTTTCATGCTTCCTATTTTGTTTTCCTTCATTAATTTGATTTTGTTTCCATTTCTGTTTCATCGTTTGTATGTTTTTTGTTTCTTTTCAAGGATTCATTTACCCCATTTCAACTGAACACAGAACCCAGAATGAATATGGATTTTCTTGTAAGTTTGATGTTTGGGTTTTATGCTGGGAAATAGTCCTCTAACATTATTGCCCCTGTTCAAGTTTGCCTTGCGTTGGCTCGCAGATGTGCACACAGGAAATAGGAGCCTAATGTATTCTAACATGAAAAGCAAATTAGATTTTCAATGCTGAAGAGAAGAAAGGGTCATTTCAAGTCGCTGCCAGCTTTCAAAGCTATCAGTCTACCATTGGCAGCGCGAGTCCCCATCACTGAGAAAACACATCGTGAAATTGGCTGGCATACATAAAGGGCAGAGTTCAAATACTAAAAAGGAAAGGTTGACGAAATGCAGATCTGTTGTGCCATAAATCATGAATAAGTAAAGTCAAGCATTAAGGATTAGATATACTATTCTGGTCCGAGTCAAAATTTCTTCCGCAGGGTCGCCAATAAAACCCCACGGCAAAGTAGAGTCAGCATTTTGAAAGCAGTGTTCACAGAATGAAGATGATCGGCGTGCTGGAGGGGTGCTGCTGATACTGGCTTGATTGAGGGGAAAGTTGAAATACTGGGAAGGGTGATGGTTTGGTTTTGAAAGGGGGCCCTTTCCAACAGTAGATTCATATAAACTGCCGGTGTAATTAAAGACACTGGGGCACAAGCATTGAGTAATTGCTGGGAGCCCCTGGCAGATTAAAATGATGAGCTATTTCCACACATAAACCTTGTAGCTCTGTGTCTTCGGAGAGTGAAATGGTTTCCCAAATTTTAGAACACAAAACATAGAGATTTGAAAGTCCTCTCCAGCTCACAATCAGATGTACATGTATATAAATTGGCCATGAAGTTTTTGGTGGTTTTTGACTACCTACAGCATCAACAAATGACCTCTTTTACAATGAGGAGACCGCAGGTTTGTTTGGTTTGCTGGATATTTCTCCTGGGTCTAAAACAAAGACCTAACAGTGTCAAATTGATTAAATAAAACTTTCATTTATTTTTATGTTTTGTTTTTGTAATCAGGTTCTGTTACCTCCTCCAGTTCTAGCCAAGCATGTTTCATGCTACCAAAACACCAGACAGCACCTATAAGAATTCTCTCTTTTGCTTTACCTAGAAACAGTCCCCTGAGGACGGCACCTTGTGTTGGTCACGTGCTTACCTGCCTCTGGCAGTAGCCTGACCTGCCAGATCATTGACCAAGACCTTTTACTCTTCAACATCTCACAGAGTTATAGTTTATTCCAGTAATGAGAAGCTTACATTGGAAGCTCTGACATGGGCCCAAGAGAAGCTCAGGGTCCTGGGAGATAATACTGAGTCTGCATCATAAATTAGAACTCACGTTAGCTTCTGCCCCAGATCTGGGCTTCTGAAAACACATGTTCCTAACCCACCATGTTCTCTCCTCACACTTGCTTGGATGTATTGCCCAGTTCCAAAATTCCCATCCATTCTTGCGCTAATTTAAGCAGAAGAGAGAAGAGCATATAGGAAGTAATTTTATGACTGGTGTCAAGTTAGAAAAACATCTTGGTTCAATCCACATAAGATTAAAATCATACCAGATGTATCTGACAGTGTTTATTGGTTGTTTTGTTTTGTTGGTTTTTTAAAAAAAAAACTGTAAGTGAATTCAAAATTCCTCCTAAACTTTTTCACCTGAAAGGAGTAATAAACATTTTATTTCCTGTAGTTTGGGATAGCTTGGGATCCAGCTTCTTTAAATGCCTGCCAATAAATAGTCTGTTATGCTGCCCAATTACAAGACAGATTAGTGGGTGGATTGACGTAGAGTGAGAAGGAAAAAGAAATCAGTGATAATTTCCCACTGAAAAACCATAGCCATTTTATATAGCTTTTGAAATAGACTTGAAATTAACCCATAAAAAAATGGCAATAAATGTCTGAAAAAATTACTGCAATACATATGTGTTCTGTGGGAAGTCTCTCGAAGCAGTTGGTCGGATGTTTCATGCTCTCTTTCCAGCTGCTCCTGACTCTGATGATGTGGCGCTGTACGTCGGGATTGTGATAGCTGTCACCGTTTGTCTGGCGATCACTGTTGTGGTGGCCCTGTTCGTCTACCGGAAGAACCACCGTGACTTTGAGTCTGACATCATTGATTCCTCAGCACTCAATGGCGGCTTTCAGCCTGTGAACATCAAGGCTGCCAGACAAGGTCAGTGAGCTTTCCGCCCTCTGAGTTATGCCCAGGGGGAGCAGAGTGACCGCGTAGCTTCAAATTCGGTTGCATCTCCGTCATCCAGTCGAGCTAGAGCATACGTTGAGTAAAGGCGGAGATTTTGGTTGGCTTTGCTCATTATAGGAATGAAAACATTGATACAGCAAATCAGAGTTGATGAGACACACAGATCATTTCTGGTTTGTTTGTCTGATACGTACCTCTATCCTGCTTCTTAACTTGTATTTGAAAGAACTATTACACTGATTCATTGATTTTTTTTCTAGTGTCTTTTCCCTTTCTTATAATGCATTTAATACAGTGGTGTACATGTGAATCCAAAGTTAGCATAGGTAAGCAAAACCATTACCTGATAGTGACTGAGTAGCGCTTATTGTTCTTTCTAAACTGTTGAAATGGCCAAATGCCCTAAGTGTCATCATTAAACCTCAAGGAAGCATATCAGAGAAGCAAAGTTACCCATGAATGGACAATGACAAGATGGATACTGACGCTGTACTTGTCCTGTTTCCCAGCACCTTTGATGTCTCTTTCTGCACTGTTAGCAGAGCAGCTTTGCTTTGGCTTAAAGGTGTGAAGTGGTTTCTCACTAATCTAGCTTGGTCCGAACAGAGAAAGCAAATGGAATAATTCTTTGCTCTTTCTGACTCAGATCTCCTGGCAGTGCCCCCGGACCTCACGTCAGCTGCAGCCATGTACAGGGGACCTGTCTATGCTCTGCACGATGTCTCAGACAAAATCCCAATGACCAATTCTCCAATTCTCGACCCACTGCCCAACTTGAAAATCAAAGTATATAACACCTCAGGTGCCGTCACTCCTCAGGATGACCTCTCTGAGTTCACCTCCAAGCTGTCGCCCCAGATGACCCAATCCTTGCTAGAGAACGAGGCTCTTAACCTGAAGAATCAGAGTCTTGCGAGACAGACTGACCCATCCTGCACAGCGTTTGGTACCTTCAACTCACTTGGGGGTCACCTCATCATTCCTAACTCAGGTAATTCTTTACGTTTTTAATGACAAAGATGCAGCTTGAAATCCTACCTCTGTGTGTTTTTACTGAACCTGAAATGTTGTATGTAGTCTAAGTCAAATTTCCATTTAGTAGATCTCAAGTATTACTTCATGCAAAATCTACAAAACCATGTATCTTCATCCAAGCAATTCTAAATTCCATTCCTCTTGAAAGAACTTTTTGCTGAGGTGTAGTTCAGAACTGGCACCTACCACCTTGAAGGTATAACCAACCCAGGAACCCTCACTGGAGTCCCTATAGTTCAAAACATGCTATTAGAATGCAAAGAGTTGGTTTGGGCCAATTTTCTCAAGGAAACTATATTTCAGAAAATTACGTTCTAAATGATTGGAAATATTGCATAATAACACAAAATCTTTGTAGTAATTATTCAGAGCATCATTCAATCAGAAAATATCTGTAAGGTATTGATTTCAGTCTATGATATATTGTTGACAATCTCAGCTTCAACCAGTGTACTTTTGTAGTTTTATTTATTTCAAATCTATTAAATAGTTTAGCAATGTCTAAAGAATACAAAACACAATCATCTTCCACAGAGCACTCAAGTCAGTGGCTGCCATTGTTGAAACTGGTAATACTGATGGACTTCCACTACAGGATGTTAGACAGCAAATGACTACTTTAAAAGCACAGCTTAACTTTTTTTGACAAGTTTGTGAATATGTTCAATAAAATAACACAAATAACACTGACTTATTGTATTAATATCATAAAATTGTATAATATATTACATGTATATTATAAATGTATATGGTATGTTGTATATATGATACATGTGATATATCTTTTATTCTATTTATATATGTGTTATACATACTTATTGCTAATAAATAGATACATGGGATATATAATACATATAATATTATTACATTTTTACATATATATGAGCAAGTGCAAAACCACGGGACTCTATAGCCTGAATGTGAAGTTATCTTTGGTTTTTCCTTTTCATTTCCTACTTCAGTGCCTTGATAGCCTTTTACCCTATCCCGTTAAATAGGTCTTGTAATAAAGTTACAATTATTTGACAGAATATCATTTTCCCTTTTCCTGTATTTGTACATAACTGATATAATGTTATATATGAATTTTTAACCTCATTAATTCTCATGCTATTTGTATGCTCTTAAAACAATCACGATGTTTATATAATAGTTTATTAAATACCCAGTCAAACATATCCTATTATTTAAAATTTACATTTTAAATATTATTTAAAAATTTAAAAATATTATTTAAAAATTACATTTATCCAAAAGATAGTGCTTTCTCCCATAATGCTCATTGAACTCTGTTTTTCTACCGGTTTCTTCACCCATCACTTTCCAATATGTGAATTATAACAAAGTCTTCTTTAAATGGAAGGGAAGAAGCTAGCATATTATAAATAAACTTTATATTATTTCCTTCAATAGAATACAGTTGTTTCCTAACTATTCTTTTACCTTTGTATTTATAATTTTTCATCCTCATAACAAAAATTGAGATGCACTGTATCATTTAATTGGAAAATAAATTCTGAGTCTAACCTGTCTCATACACAGCCTTCCTGTTCCAGTCTAATGCTCTCCAGAAGCCATGCTTACATTATCACCACATTCCACTTCCCTAGCACCTTAGCTGCCCTCTCCATCTCAAGAACACCCTGGTTCAACACCTTCACAGATAAGGTTTTGCCAAGACATTTGAATAACTGTACCCCTAACCCTTGGTATTTAAAACTTCTTAGTCAAGTTTTCTTGCTGCCTTGTCTCATTAGGCACATTCTACTTCATGTCAAGTCATTACATGTTACTCAGGGAGACTCACTTTCTTTCTTGACATCAAAAAAAATTGCCAGACACTGTCCTCACAAAGAAAGTCTATGCATTTTTTACTGCACTTAATCAATGTGCATTTCATGGGAATGAAAAGACAAAGCCAAGTATCTTCAGCCAAGTCACTCTCTGCAGTGCTGGCCTGTATTACTGGACTGGGGTTATGAGAGGGTAGACCTCAGATCACCAATGCGGACATCATCTGAAAACTTGTTCAAACTGGATAAAGGAAAAATTTTCACTAGGTTTTTGGAGCCAGGATCTCCAGGAGATCCTGACACCTTCTCAAATTGTCTCAACGTCATCCAAAGTATAGTTCTCACACAGTTCATACCAATAATCCTTCTCCTGGGTGCCAATCATCAACAAATGAGAAGTTCTCTGACTTTCTGCAGCTATGTGAGATGTTGTTGATCATTTTCTAGACTTGCAAATAATAAAGTAAATTCTTCCCATCTCTTTCTCTGCTGTGGAATAACACTGGTGCTCACCAGTTATTTCAGGGGAAAAAAAATGTTTTCTGATATGGCTGAGGTTAGCATTTCCCTGACTTTGAATTTCATGGGGAACTTTTTTTAAAATCAAAAACAATGCATCATTGCAGCTGTTTAAAATTTTAATAGCAGTTTTTGGTTTCTCCACAATTTACAAGAAAAATAACAGTGGAACCATCTGTCTATTCCTTAAATAAAACACGAACTTTTAAAATGACATCACTCTCCTAAGTAATCCCATAACAGTTCAGAGGGAGTTATGGTAAGAAGCAAGACCAGCAAGAAGGGGTGGGGAGCTTTGGACCTTTGCATGGTTTTAGGAAAAGTGCAAAGACTAGTGCTACAAGGATGCAAAATTGCATTCCCTTTTGCTTGCTGCAAAGGAGTTCTAGAAGTTTCCTTTGGTTCACAGGTCTTATAAAATATTCCTTTCCTTTGCTATTCAGGAGTAAGCTTGCTGATTCCCGCTGGGGCCATTCCCCAAGGGAGAGTCTACGAAATGTATGTAACTGTACACAGGAAAGAAAATATGAGGTAAATATTTTTTCTGTTGCATTTGACTTTATCAATGTTTCACTTGGGGAAGAATTGTACAATAGAAATGATAGATCCAATATATTTTTGTCTGAGGTGACATACATTTGACTCTACACCTATAAAAAAATTCAATCTTACTTCTCATTCTTGTTGAAGCTTCAGGCATTGCATATTATAAGTGTGGATAGAATGCTAGAGTTCTTTTCTGTGAATAGACACATAGTTCTTTAGCAGAAAAATACAGAGAAAAACATGATTCACAGATTGTCCAAAGAAATGCATGGATTTAGATAGATTTGCTGACTTACTGTGATCTGGGTCAAGAATCAAGCCACAGTAGAGATAAAGATCACAAAAGTGGATACACCTTAGCTTCTGACATTCCCATTCTCAGCCAAGCACAACCCCTGATATGCCCCTCCCACCTCAGCCTAGCAGAGCCCCTCATATGCCCCTCCCACCTCAGCCTAGCAGGACACTATGCTCATTCTTCTCTTTCCGTTCTTAACTCTCCTCCAGCTTAAGAATCATCAGCCTTCTTTTATAATTAGACCTTCCAAAATGAGCCTAGTGTTGATTAAAACCATACCGAATCCAAAGGTTCGATTTTGACTGTGTCATATTGATCAACATGTAGCTATTTTAAGTGATAAAAATAACAGATCAGATGTCCTAAATTCAGTTTTTAGTTTAGAAAAGATGGTCTCTCTTGAGTAATTCCCACATAAAAGGTGTTCTTAGTGTAAATGCGCGCACGTGTGTGTGTGTGTGTGTGTGTGTATGTGTGTGTGTACATGTGTGTGTCTGTGTGTGTATTCATGTGTGTGTGTGAAGGGCGTGCACTAGAAGCCTGGGTGATTAAGGTTTTCAAAGACACACTGAGATCTTAAAACAAAAGACGTTTTGAAAATGGAGATACTCATTGTATAAGGATCACTGTTGGTCCCAGGAAGAAGCATCCGTAGGTCTGGCTCTGAGCGGAGTCTGCATGACAGATGCAGAGTAGGTGATCATCCCCCTGCACTCTCTTCCCCACTCTCATCCTCGAGCCAGCTCTTTTTAGTCCCTGCTTTGGTAACCGAAAGCTTCTTTGTTCTGCACCCAGGTGGAGACACAGTTATTTATAGCAGTATGACCCAGAACATTCCCCCTCTGGTAGTATCCTTCCTGCTCTTCCACCTCCACAAACAACAGCCAGACCAAGAAGATGAAAAACAAACAAAAAACAAAAGACAAAATCCCCTCAAATCGTCGCACATTATTCCTGCCTTAAATTTGAGCCACAGAAAATCATTAAAAGTTTTGTATTTACTTAATATCAATTTTTTTTTCATTCCTACTGCAGAGAAACATTCACCTATCCTTAGGGGTCCCTGTTTGGGGAGCAAGAAAAGCAATTAACAAACTCCAAGGCGGATTTATTTCATTTTATTTTCTCTTGTCCTAAGCCAAGGTGAGCATTATACAGATGCTGCCTCCCATGCCTTTGATGTTGTGGGCGGCACCTCTGACAGACCTGAGAACTAAAGAAGGCATGCAGTGTTCATGGATTCCTTTATTCACCCTGTAACTGTCATCTGCAGCTAAAGCCCAAGTCATATTGGGCTACTGCCACAGCATGGTGTGCCCTCTTCACTCTCCCCTACTTTTCCTTTCCATCCCTTCAGGATTTTCTGCTCAGAGTAGTGATTATACAATTTGGAAGAAGATGAGGGACTAGAATATTGATAATGCCAAACACCAGTTCTTTAAGATTCCACTGCCTTGGACTTTAGGTAATGAAGGGGGAATTGCTCTATTGAATTTAGTTTGCATCAAGAAAGTTGTGTGTGTGGAGAAAGTTCAGGATCTCAGAACAAACCATACAGGAGGTAGGGTAGGGAAATGACTTAGAGTGTAAGGTGTATGCCAAAAAAGCAAGAAGGCCCAAGGATGATACCTAGCACCCACAGATAGGCATGATGGCACACACCCATAATCCTAGCACTGGTGAAGTAGAAACAAGAAAACTCAAGGGCTTATCAGCAAGTCAATCTGGGTGGACTGACTAACTTCAGTTTCAGTAAGAGATTCTGTTCCAGAACAATAAGGTAGACACCAAAAGCCCACTGTTAGCCTCCACACATGAATACATACACCCCAAAAAGAATATACCTACCAGAGATCATGAATCAAGGATAGAACATGAGGAGATGCTCTGTCAGATAAATGGGAAGACCTCACACCACTAATTTTCTAACATGACACAGACGTACTTTCCCTGTAACAGCACCGTGAAAGCGAATGTGTAGCAAAACTAAGTCATTCTTCGGGCACTTCTACATGTTCCTGTCTTAGCGAAAACCTGTACATTGTGATGAACCCCACTTTAGAGGTGAGAAAACCGATGCCTGGGAAGTCAAGTCTCCTTAGTGATTGAGGAGAGCTAAGTACAACTTAAGTTCTCCTGACTGCAGAGCTCTTCGCTTTCCAAGATGACATCCCTCCTGCATACACCTTAGATCACCCTCCACCTTCTCATTAGCTTACACTTTGAATCCACTTTGCTCAGTGAAGATCTTTCTCATCATCACATAATCCAGAGGAAACTTTTCTGAGAAGTCAGGGTGGGGACATCAAGTGCCACTTGAAGGCATTTGCAGCAGCACTGTGAGCATTATTTTTCTCCTCTTTTCTTTTTTTCTCCGACTCCTTTCATTACATCCAGAACTGGGTGTGTTTCCAGCTGGATGGTACCCAGCTGGTCATCAGCTGATGTGAGTTGTCTAGAGGGAGGCGTGAACTTAATTACATGTGGCAGGCTGAATGTGACAAATGGGGCCTTATCATTACTGAATGTGCTCTCTGCAAAGCACAGACTGGCAGATGTGTGTCCTAAATGGGCCAGGGATGGGACAAGCCTCATCTGACCAGAGAAGGTGAGAAGTTGCAAGGGCCAGGGTATCTTTCTCTCCTACTTCCTAGAGCTCTCAATAGAACACAGAGCCTCCATTACCCCATGAATACAATGTGTGTGGCTTATGTAGAAATGTGGCCCCTTGCATCCTGTTTCTAGAAGGAATTTAAAAAAAAGAAGAAAGAAAGAAAGAAAGAAAGAAAGAAAAGTAAATCTTATTGAAACCAAACCATCATTGTTTATCAATTCTTATGGACAAAAATGGTTTGAGATCTGAAAGGCACGTTTTCCCTTTTCTCTGTCTCCAATGCTGGCCTGGTGGTTCCTTCAATCAGCCAGCCAAAAGGAGCAATTGGTTCATAGATCCTGAATGTGAGAGTGAACAGGATTCTATTTGTAAAGTGTGGAGAGCGACAGGAAGTTTATGATCAGCTCAAGGACACAGGATTAGCACTTCTTTTTAAAGAGCGATGTGGTAACTTGTGATGTGATGTGATGTGCTGGGAGAAGGAACAGTACATCTTCGTGAAGGTTCTGGTCTGGGTTGGGCCGATGAGAGGTGAGGATGGAGTATGCCAGGCTTGAAGACAGAGGAGAAAACAGTGAAAGGTACTGCAGAGCAGAAAGCAGTTCTTAACTGGCCAGAGTGCTGGAGAGAAATACATAGGGTGTGTTTAAGGCACAAGGCCTGGGTGCTGAAATCGAAGACGGGCTGAAACAGCCACTGGCCGGAGGGGAGAAGCTCGGTTCCTGAAGGAGATGGGCTCTGATGTAAATAGGATATGATCTCAGGCATGGACAGAGAAATGAATTCTCAGCAGGAAATGGATTTTCAGGGTAAAAAGAAATGGGGTGTAGGGGGCAGTGGAAAACATTCTAGTTCTGGTAATTTTGTAATGAAGCTAAACATGAAAGGATAAGGGGAGCACACAGTTTGTATCTGGCATGGGGTCACTGAGTACTTTTTAACTAAAGCATGAATATATATGTAAGGATAAATAAGCCATGATGTAAGAGAACTTTAAAAATCACAGGTAAAGAGGTTTCCCAAATCAAGCAGGTAAACTGACAGTGATTGAAATGTAAATAATAAGGGAGAACCATTTTAAAAAACTACTGGGTTTGTTAACTATACGTTATTGGTGGTCTTTGGCATTCTTTCATTGGTGAAATCCCTTATAGAACTAGTCCAAGGTGTGGGATAGCAATGAGGCCATGAAATAACAGTGATGTATAAAGTCAGGTGGGGCAGTAGGAAGGTCAAATAGTGGCGTAATGAAGCATCCTTCCTGAGAGTAGATAATGAATTGGCTATTTAATAGCTTCCAGGGGGAAAGGTAGCCACAGGCAGTGGTATGTCCAGAACTCTAGCACTCACAAGGCTGAGACAGGAAATTCCAGAGTTCAAGGCCAGCACTGTCTACAGAAAGACTTTGTCTCAAAAAAAGCAGGGAGGAAAGGGGAGAAAAGGAAAGAAAGACTTCGCTAAGGTTTAAGATCCACATGAACAATATTCCTAGGAGGAGCCTGGTTCCTTCCTCTCTGCTTCCTCATAAGGAATATACTTTGAGTCACAAAGCTCCTAAGATATAAGGAGCAGTGAGCTTAAAGACTATTTGTATTAATGATCGTCAAGGGAAGTAGATTGTGAGGGCCCAAAGTATACGCTCAGATAAATAATTCCATAAGGATTCAGCTCAGAGCACAATGTTTAGTCATTCTGACTTAATCTAGAGATGGTCTACCTGTCTGGGAAAAGATAACTTGCCTTTCAGAGTGGCTTTCGTGTGTGTGTGTGTGTGTGTGTGTTCTCAAATAAGCTTTTGATTGGGAGAAAATTGGATATTCCCTGTCAGAAGCATGAAGTGCAAATATTGCAGGTTGCCCATTCTGTGGGATGGTGGGTGCTTTAGAAGGCTGCTGAGGCTCGGGTGAGATTGTCACCCTGAAGGAAGTGACAGAAAGGTGTGTATTCACAGAAGGCACCTTAAGTCCACACAGAGGTTGATGGTGGCAGATCTTTTTCTAAAGTTCCTAAGCTTGTGAAAAGCCACCCCATACACACTGGTGTTAACGCAGCAAAATGATTTGCATGTGCAATCCCATGGTGCTAATCATTAGCCCTGTGTCTTCAGGCAAGTGCGTTAGGAGCTCTGGATTCCTCCTCCGGAGAGGGTCACATGAACACCTCGCCTTACAGGTGTGCCTAGGCAGCTAATTCTTTGCTCGCACGAAGGTGATCCACGATGCTGTTCTGTGTACACAGTCTTATCGCGGACAGGCAGTGGAGGCTGAAAGCAAACTTCTGTGACAAAAAAACACCTTCTCCTCCTCATGAACTTTGTCCTAGGGCCACGGAGACCTGTCCAGTTCTTAACGTGATTTGATCCTTGTTAGATTTTTGTTTGCATGCTTTTGGAACACTCTACGAATTCTGATTATTGAATTTTGCTGGGTTCCTACTTAATTGCTGCTTCTGAGCTCATTTTTGTTCTGTGTGCACATCCCAGTCATCTGCAGTAAAGATGTCCAGACTGTTTGCTTCAGTAACTCAGATGGCTCCTAGGATATAATTAGATTGGAGCCCTTCTCTACAAAGTCATAAATGAGGTCTACCTGTAGTTTCTACTATTTGGTTCCATATATTTTTTGATCCCTCCCTTTATGTAAGTAATGGTTATAGGAATTTAGACACTTCTGACCTTTGGTTTAATATAGCTAACTTTTACCTAAGTTTCCCCTTCCAGATATGGTGGCAACTGCCTTCGGTTTCTACCACTTCCTTCATCTCAGAAGCATAAGAGTCTTAACTCCTTTATTGTTCATCCCATTATGAATTCGACTTCATCACTTTCCTATTCATTACATTTTTGCACCTCACTGAGTTAATAAATTCTTTTGACACACACAGCCCCTCCTCTTCCCACTGCTCATTTGGTTTCCCTCCTCCAAGAGCAGTGCCCATCAATACAGCATGCCAGAAGTGTGTTCAGTGTCCAACTGACGGCTGCTCAACCCAGCAGGGGCTCTCCTCTTCTCCCTTATGTTCCTGGTCAGTGAGAGGAAGCCCCCTCCTTGCCTTCTCCAAGCACAGGCTGCTGAGACCAGCCTGACAGATTTTTTTTTCCGAACATCAGCTCTTCAATAGGGGCCACTTGAAATGGATCCACTTGAGGTCCCTCCTGGTAAATTTTACTGCTTACCTCTCAAGGTACTCTTGTAACTAAAAGGTAGGTGTAGGCCTCAGGAAAGCATAACCATTGTAGGTTTATTTCTCTCCTCGTAGGAAAAGTGATATTAGGCAGCAATAAAGTCACTGCCAAAGGCAGATAGTGTAATATTAATCATGTGAAAGCAACGTTTCACTTACGTTGTAAAGGAGGGAAATTAGACAAAGAGAAGACAAACTGTGTTACGAGAAAATGAAAACCAAAGTGGTAGGGGGCAGAGTATTGAAGTCTCAAGCGAGTGCCATAAACCTTGTGATTCTAAATATAAGTATATCCCCCAGGTGCCTAGAAAACTATAGATTTAATAACAGAAACATGCTATGCAGGATATTAAAGCACTGGAAGTCAGAAAAGCTCATTTGAGCCTTCCACACGGGAGGAGAGAAGGAAGGGAGAGAAGTCAGTGAGGCCCTGGTACAACCTCAAGGGAAGGAGGAAGCAGCAGGGTCGGAGATTCTTGAGGGGAATAAAAATCAAACTGCAGGCTTTACAGAAGGTGATGACTGGCGGCTGTGAAGGCTTTCATGTTTGCCTTCGCTTACAACAGAGCCATCGTGTTAGCTGTCATTGTTGTGTCAGGACTGATAGAAGGCGCAAATTTTTAGGTCGGAAACTTCATCAGTCATCACAGTTGCATGTTCTAGACCATCATCAGTTCTGTGCTAGCGTTCTGAGCTAAAGTTCCCAGAGTATTTCAAGGAGGGTCAGGTGATACCTACACAGTTTTAGTAAAGGGCCACTAAATAGGGGGAAGCTGAGTTGTTCTTGATGAGAGGCAGTTCTACCTGTCATTTCCTGCAGATTTAGACATCTTTATCTTCCAAGACAACTGTAGACAAGCATCCTTGAAAACAGCTAAGCACATCGATTATCATAATAAATATATGAAGAGTTATCTTCTGACAACGTTAAAATAATAATAGCTGACATTATTCATTTATCTGTTCATTTATTTAGCATTAGGTGAGGGTAGGACATAGATATTTAGTAGCTTCTAGATGATGTGATAAATAATACATAAATTATAGGTAACAGCAAGAGACAAATCAATTTCAGGTAGCCACTGCAATTATGGGCGAATTTGAGATGTCTTTTTAAATGTCTACATGAATAAGACAGAAGGATGTCACTGAGATGTACATTTTAATGGATTTATATTTGGTTGAGCTGGATAACTCGAAGGTATTGATGTTTGATGAGAAAAGGCTTCAAGTGGTGACCTTGGAAAGGTCTTATCCTTGTCTTATTCTTGTGCTACAATGTTGCCAGTGATTATAACGAACACAAAAATAGCAGAAATATCCATTTTATGATGGATAGAAGACTATGGGAGATAAACAACATTTGGAGGAATGACATAGCATTAAGAACTGTATATTGAATCTAATAAAGCAAGATAAAAATATAAATATGTCCATGTTCAAAAGTCCTCTAAAAAACACAAAACTATATAGACTTGATGTAATCTAAGAACACTTACATTAGGAATCTTTGTGTGCTTATAGTGGTGTTCATCACCTACTTTTATGAAGGCAATGTTTTAATAACAGCATCTCCATCCTCCCCTCTTAACTAGAGATGGACACTTAATATTTATGTTATTATCTGAGAATAATCCAATCCAATGATTTGTAATGTGTGACTATATCTATATAATCTCAGTTAAAGAAATTAGCAGTACACTTAAGTTTTAGGTTAATTAAAGGATGCCCAATATAATGAGACAGCAAATTTCTGAAAAATTCCTCATGAACTTGAAGAAACATAAGGAGAGAAGTGGAATCCTTACTTATCAGAAAACACTGGAAAAGTTGAGAAAGTTCTATAAGGACAAAGATATCAAAATAATGTCCAAATACATGATATAAAGTGAGCTAGTTAGTAGGTCAAGGATATATGGAGAGAATTGTCTAGAAGGCAGATTGTGTTCATTCTAATTGATCAGAATGTAAGTTGACAATAAATGAATGTTACTCCAGTAACCATGGATTATAAATTTGGATATGTCTAAGGTATATGACACAAACCATACATCAGCTGTATTATCATAGGCCATTGTTCTGGGGAAGCGGGTGTTTGAAGACCCTCCTACAATTTCATGGTCCCGTGGCCCCCGTAGCCATCCTCTTCTGCCAGCCAATGTGAGAACTCTTAGGAAACATGCCTTTAGTCCAATCACAAAACAGTCATTGTTAGTTGTGAGATACAGGCGCAATCTCGGGAACTTTGAAATGACTTCCTCACATACTAATTGGCAGCCTGGACTAATTAGTCCATTTGCTTGTTGTTTAGTAATGTAAATCAAACAGACTGACAGAGTTTAGAAAAGGAAGGAGGGAGGGAGGGAAAGAGGAAGGGAGAGGGAGGGAGAGAGAAACAGTTTGTATCTTTGAGTCCCTTTTGACCAGATTTTTTGCATATGAAATACATAAGTGATGTGATTTCATTTTAACTTGCTATAGAAATGCCATCCTATATTCTTTCTGCTCCCATTTGAAAGAATGAATCTGCTATACTATCCTGAATTATGCCTGAAAGTCATTTGGACTAAGTTTAGCTCTAGGGTGTCCTCATTCTGAAGCGAGTTTTTGAAGTATTTTTCAAGTTAGGCCCTGAAAACACTAAAGTATTTAAAACACTGTGAGACCACTGGTGAGCGTTATCAGAAAAGCTGCTTATGTAACTTCATCAGGAGTCTGTTCTCTCTCATTCCATCCTGAAAGCATCAGAGCACAGGGTCAGAGGAAACTATCCAGGCAGCCTCATGTCTGAGAACCAGGATCAAAGAGATGCTGGCAAATGCCCTGCTGTCAGAAAGACCTCCAGTCTTCCAAGATGAAAGCCAATCTATAGAGAACACGGCTTCCATTTATTTCTGTCTTACCCACTCCCCCCCCCAAGTGTTATAAGGATGTGATTCGAACTGTTTATTCACTGTAGATCTCAGTGACTTCACAGGGCAGTAATACTATGGAAATGTCACAGGTATGGTTCTCTGCACTCCCTGCAGGCCCCCCATGGAAGACTCTCAGACCCTACTGACCCCTGTGGTGAGCTGTGGGCCTTCAGGAGCTCTGTTGACCCGCCCCGTCATCCTCACTCTGCATCACTGTGCAGACCCCAACACTGAAGACTGGAAGATCCAGCTCAAGACCCAGGCAGTGCAGGGGCAATGGGAGGTGAGTGAGTGTCTGTGCGAGACACATGGTGTCCATGTCCATCATTGGTGCGTGTTGGGAGATCTTTATTTCTAAAGTAGCGTGACAGCCTTTTGGTTTACACTTTAAACAAGAGACAGAAGACTGAATCTTCTGACTGATGAGCGAAAGGAAGGGGGTGTTCAAAATCAGCTCACAGGAAAAGGATAGTCAGACATCCCAGGTAATTTGCTGTTAGACAAACAGGAACCACATGATGGGGAGGGTGTGGGGGACCATCAGAACCTAGATCACTTAGCATCTGTCTCTCAAGAATATCTTTATCAAATACATATGTAAATGTTAGTATAAATGTATATTTATACAAAATTTACATATGCAAAATGTGAAGTTACATTATAATTACTTTTGGTATTTTTAGCAAAAAAATTATAAAGATACATATGAAAGTTTAAGGCTGTAGTATATTAGGGAAACTGATTTAGAAGTGAAGCATGATATTCTGGGATTAGCTAGATTTTTCCTTTCTATGAACATTGACTACACTTGACCATATAAGGGAATCATTCCTTATCAGAGCCCCTTGCGTGTAGGGTTGTGCTTGAGATTATCCTTTAAATAGACTTACGTGGGCCTCACTTTAATTTCATTTAAGCTTTAAACTATCAAAAAAATATCTAAAACCCTATCTTAGGTGCTGGCACGATTCTCTGCTTAATGCCTTTTCCATTTCTGGGGCTGAATGATGCTAATGGTGATAGAGCAATGAACTCAAGAGTCCAGAATAGAACAAAGAACATTCTCATGTAAACCCTTACAAAGCAGGCCTGGACCATGGTGCCTACTGCTGGCCACACCTTTCAGGCTTTCTGAACCATTCCCCCCAGGTCCTTCTTTGTCCAGTGTCCTGGAGCCTAGAATAAACTTAGAGGCCTTGAGCTGCTTTTCTCACCAGTGTAAGATTCCTGTAAATACACTTCAAAATATTAACTCATTGATGTTGTTAAAATACAGCTCATAACATCTCAGATGATGTCATAAGATCAAACCAAGAAGCCATCACCTGAGGTAGCTGTTCCATTCATGTCTTTACCCAGACCTAGAGACCAAGTTTTATTCCTTCATTTTTTTTTTTTTTTTGGTAGTCGGCACTTGTCATGAGTCAGGCGCACTGGGATACAGGAGAAAGCACTGGGGAAATGACTCCTGTTGGGGGATGGGTGATTGGTACCCTTATTCAGAAACTGAGTTGCATTCATGCATGTATTTTACTGCCCACTTTCCCACTCATGAAATTTTCTTCTCAATCTGAATTACTTTAAAGTAGGGAGAACATATAAAAAAATCACAATGTTCACTCGTCTGTGGTAAATCATGGCTCTGATGGCCCTGGGCTTGCCATCGCATTGGCTGAGCTCAGGGGCCACTGCACTCTTAACCCAGTCACAGACTCTACTTGCCCAGTCCCCAGCACTTCTTATCACCTTCCACCCTGCCTACTGCCGCGGGAGCATGTGAAATGCTGATCCTTGGCTTAATGACCTGACCCTCTCTCTTTGTTAGTATATAACTTAAGCCATTTGAATAAATCAAAAACTGGTTGAACTGGCAATTACTTTTACAAAAATCACCACTTCCACTTATTTCTTATGAAATACTTTTAGTCTACAGTAATGAACTGTTTAATGATTACATGAGAAAAACAGCAGAGAAGAATGTAGAAGGCACTAAGTGCTTCCCACAGCTCCCCTTCTGGAGAACCTGAGAGCTGAGATTGCTTAGGGAAAAGTATACTATTCTGAAAAATTAACTGTAGTCTGAGTTTCGAAAGAGAAAGTACAATAGTGTTATATAATGTCTTAATTCCTCTGATTATTTTTTAAATATGGATTCTTGCAAAAAGTTGATATCTGAGAGTGGCACCTCAATACTTTGTACTTTTCAATTAAATAATATATTGAAAGATTAAAACAACAAAATCTCAGAAGCAGGTAGTAAACCTGAGTACACTGAACTCAAAGGGACAATTTGCTATTGTCTTTTGGATTTTCATGTAGATACCAGGACATTTATGCAAATAATCACATCAGTATCTAGACAAAGAAAGAGCGCTGATGATGGAGAATGAAAAGAGGTACCACAGAGTTAAGAAAGACGAACCAGAACTCAGGAACAGACGCCTGCTTTATCAACCACCGTCCATGGTAGCTGGCACATGGGAGCTTAACCATGTTCCCTTCCCTCTCATTCCCAGGATGTGGTGGTGGTGGGAGAAGAAAACTTCACAACTCCCTGCTACATTCAGCTGGATGCAGAGGCTTGCCACATCCTCACAGAGAACCTCAGCACCTATGCCCTGGTTGGGCAGTCTACCACCAAAGCAGCAGCCAAGCGCCTGAAACTGGCCATCTTTGGCCCCCTCTGCTGTTCTTCCCTGGAGTACAGCATTAGAGTTTACTGTCTGGATGACACACAGGACGCCCTAAAGGTAAGTGTCTCCCCACTCACCTGTCCTCTTCACCCTCACCTAGAAGCTAAGGTTTTGAAGTAACCTTACACACCTGGAGATGACTCTGGGCAGGCATGCGAACACGAGCCATGGGTCCAGAGGAAGCAGTTACAACAAACAGATAGATCTCAGTGGCCATGCTGATAGAGAAGCTGTTTGCTCTGTGCTGATTCCTCCCAAGGGCTACTTTTTGTTTACCTTACTTGAGCTCTTTTAATGAAAAATGTAGACGAATTTGGCAACGAAACCCGTGGATGGTAAATAATCTGGTTCCAGGTTTATCTCAGCTGCGTTCTTCCTATAAAAGAAATTGGCATAATTGCTCACGTTGTATGTTCCTCTTGTGTGCTACTTCATTTATATGCTTTCCCATTCTTTTTACGAGGGCTGTGAGGGAGAGGGTGAGCATTTGACAACAGGCTGCTGCTTTGCAGAATAAATGTGCTTAATTCCTGGTGTGATTATTGCCATTCGTTTTATCCCATTTGAAGCTTTAAGGGATATAATAAGTGCCTTTGAAGAAGTTATGATCTAGAAAGAGGAAGATAAAAAGTATGCCAGGGTTGAGGAGATAAGCCAGAATCTAATGTATGTCACGGCTGATACATCCTGTGAGAGTTCGGGGAGGCAACCTACATAGTATTTTAAGGAAATCTGAACAAGAGCTAACATTTGAGACTTGTCATTATGCAAGGTAAGGTTTTAAGCAGCACTGATAGGAAAAAACATTCAAGATGTTTAGATACAGGGACCAGGGTGAAGGCACACAAAAGTGAATAGCAATTGACGCCTTTATGCAGATGTATTTTACCAGGAAGTCGAAAAGATAGATCTTAGCTGACAGAGAGTCTATGATGTTAAACAGAACATGATTGGAAATATGCATTAGACCCCTGACTCTGACTTCAGTGGACAGATTCAAGTTATTAAGGAGATTGTGGCAGAGCTGTTGTGGTGCCAGAGGAGTAAGAGGAAGGAAACAGGGATACAAGTCCCTGAGCAAGTTGCATGGTGACTACCACTCATGTAGTGGAACAGAAAACTGAACTTCTATCTCTGATAATGGCAAAGTCTAGGGCAAGTGACTTTGTTACTTTTGGCAGTTCAGGCTACTATGACAAATACTATGGATTAGGTGACCTAAATGTAGACATATTTCCTCATCGTGCTGGAAATGGGAAGCCTAATGTTAAGTTTGTCAGCACAGTTGTGTTCTGATAAAGACTCCTTCAAGGTTTCAGACAACTGTTATCTAGCTGTGTCTTCATGTAGTAGATGAAGGCTGGAAAGGTCTGTGGACTCTCATCTGTAATGACATTTATTTCATTTAGAAGATCCCTGCCCTCATCATCTAATTACCTTCCAGTGGTGCAATTTCTTAAAACTCAGACTCTGTGGATTAGGATTATCAACCACTAATTTTGGATGACGCAAAAATTTGCTGGCAATAATGCTTTTCCTTATGGACTACTGACTTTGGGGTATAAATCTGTCATCAAAAGATATGCAAGGGGCAATCAGATATATGTATGTGGTTTTATCTCTCTCAAGCTTTGTTTCCCTCTCTCCTTTGACCCTTCTTAGCGTTTGGTATCTATTATTCCATTGGAATTCCATTCCATCCTATAAAATCAACTTCAAAATATGCTCAAAAGTCAACATTTATCAGATTATTCAGTATTTATCTCATTCTTTGACAATGTACTGTACCCCAAAAGTATGTAGGGTTTTATTTTCTAAACAGACAACAGATCCCAATGTAGAGATTCAGGCATCAATGATGCCACGTTGATATTTTTCAATCAAGATTAGAAAGGAAACTATCCAAAGAGAACAGTGGAAAAATAAAAATAATGACTATTACTAAGTACTTCTATCTACCAGGCAAAATTCTACATATTTTATTAACTCATTCAGTCTTTACAATAACTCCATAAGGTATCACTATTTCTACTTGACAGATGAGGACTCCAAAGCTCAGTAAAGTTTAAGTGGCTCTAGGTCACACAACAATGGTATAAAGAAGAAAGCCTCAAGTATGGGAAGTTAGCTACAGTTAATCTATGGAACTAATGACTAAAGAGCCAGACAGAGAACGTGACTGCCATGATGTGCTAGCAGGAAGGGCAGCCAAAGACTATTAGAGTAGCTGAGGAGGGAAATGAGATGCAAAGAGTCAAGGAAGCCAAGGGAAAAACATTTTCTGCCTTTCAAGGTATTTCTTTCTGTGATTTCTGTCAAGAGAATAATTCTGGGTTGTGAAAACTGGAGGTTACAGGTCAGGGCTTCTAGGAAGCAATCTCAAAAGATGATGGTAAGGTACTTGGTTAGAAGTAAGAAGCCAGGGCTGGAGAGATGGCTCAGAGGTTAAGAGCACTGACTGCTCTTCCAGAGGTCCTGGGTTCAATTCCCAGCAACCACATGCTGACTCACAACCATCTATAATGAGGTCTGGTGCCCTCTTCTGGCATGTAGGCTACATGGAAGGAATGTTGTATACATAATAAATAAATAAACCTTAAAAAAAAAGAAGTAAGAAGCCATACTCAACTGTGCAGTCCTTGTGGTAGATGTGACCAGCAAGATGTGCAGGAAGAGGGGGGACTTTGTTGATATATATATATATATATATATACATATATATATATGTATATATATATTCTTAATGATCCAATTTGTTGGATTTTTCTGGTTGTGGAACTAAGTGATGTGAACATAGCTTTGTGTAAGGCTTCAGGGTGTTTCTTTTTATCCTCCTTGCTGATTTGTGTGACATTTCTAAGGCTCTATCAGAATGCAAATATAGCTGGGTTTAAATTCTTCTTGGGAAGAACACTATTTGTTGGAGAGTCATGGAGTCTGATTAAGGCAGATCTTCTGAACAGTTCCTTGAAAAATTATTGCAAGAAGTGCACAGTCAAAGATATTGATGGTACCTGAAATGCTTTATGCAGATAATTTATATTCTGACATAGCATTGCTCAGGATCTCCTGAACTGTCTTCCTGATAGACACACAAAGATCTATGCAAAAATGCAATACTTTGCAAAACCCACATTGGAGTTTGTTAATTATAGAACAGGGATGGAAATGGTCAATGCAAAGAAAGACCAGTAGATTGCTTTCAGCAGTGAAAACAACCCAAGTGCAGTGTATATCATGGTCAATGCTTTCCAGACAGACATTTATAAATTCTCAGCATCTGGGGATCCAGCACTTAGCTGGAAAGAGGTGTGAATAATGGATGAGACATTCTTACACCTCTTGGCCTTTTAATAATGCAGGAATACCAAAATCCTAGTAATAAGTAAATGGTCTATCCAAGACTCTGCAGAGACAATTAGTTCAGCCATGTTTGCACTGCTTCACTCATACTTGAATTGGAACCTGGAGGCTGATTAGCTCAAAAGGGCCTTCTAGAACCAAAGGCCTACCTTCTTGGTACACCCCCTGCTGTTTTTCATTGCTGGTCTGCCGTTTCCTTGCTAGTCCCGTAGTTCTTGAATTTCCAAACTCTTTAGACTTACCTTTCCCAGTCCTTCCTTCTCTCTTTATTGCCTGCTTCTTTCTCAATCTCTTCTTCATTTAGTAATTCATTTATCACCGTGCATGTAAAAATCCACGGGGGTTTTGGAGACTTGTTCAGAAGGGTCCTTCTACAAAGTCTAACATCTACATTGGCTCTATTGGAGTTATATCTTGATGTTGCCTGCATGCTTTTCTGTCAGTTAAGGACTATTATCTTAAACATGTTCACACATCTTTTTGTGGGAATGATTCCATTAAGAGCAAACATCCCACATCCACAAATCCACGTTTCTCCCATTGCCTCCCTACTCATCTCAGTCACTACTGAACCTTCCAGATAGTTCTTCATCCCTTCCAGTGCCTGTAGTGAACCACCCTTCTTTTAATCCACTGCAAGACAGAAGGAAAAAAACAAAACTCTACTCATTCTTACACTGGGACACATAGCTATTCTGGGATGTCTCTATACTTGTGGGCTGGATTTTTCTCATTTTTTCATTACCCACAGCATTTCCTTAAGTGTAGACCACTGCTCAGACCAACCCCAGAAAAACCTGCCTTACGATCTTGCCTTCAACCTATTTTAGCCCAAGTATTCTCTCAAACTCAATGTTACCACCAGATTGTTCTGAATATAATTGCTTAGTCTTTCTATCCACTCCCATCACTCATCCATCCATGCAGATGTACGCATCTTCTGCTCTCCGCAGAACTTCACTTATGTCAAGATCTGCAATCTGAACATGTCTCCCAGTGTCATAGCTGAGGCCTCATGAGCTTCCATCTCTGTCCACAATGAAGCTGCCACTTGTTCTTGGAAAAGCTTCCTCAACTTTCCCTGGTTTCCTGATCCAAAACTCCTCTTCTGCATTTATCCATTTCCAGATAGAAATCATCTGAAACATATTCCCACATTGAGTTGGAGCTGGCTGCACCAATTCCCATGGAGAACAGTGCCCAAAAATTGACAGATTTTCTACTTTTTGTTCAGGCTCATTTCCAATTAGGCCCATTACCATCCCAAAATAACTAATCTAAACAGTGCCTGCCCTGCATCCCTTGTCCTCTTATTGATCTCTTCCTGATGCATTGTACTTCACATGACTGTTGTTTGGAACTTCTTCTATGTTTCCCAAAGCTCCCGATCACATCACATCATCTTTATGCCTAACAATGATCTCCCCTCTCCATGGATATACCATTAACCCTGCCTTTGTGCCTCCATATCATTGATACAATCTCTTATCTCTAAATTCGGGCCCTAGAGGAAGGAGGTGTGCTTCCAGGCTTATGCTTTAAGCTAACTCCTTATGAGTAACACTGGGAGCTCAGTGTTGTGTCTGCAAGGGCTTGACATTTTCATAAAGTTAGAGCTGGATGTCAAGAGTCTTTCTGAACTGTGGAAAACAGAAACATGAGACTATGTGGGAGGTCCAGAGAAGTATTCATTT